GATGTAGAACAAATGTAATAGAATGAGACGTGCCTATTCTTAAGCATGTCTTTATTTATGCTGTTCAAAGAAAACCAATTATTTTCGAGAAGAAAAAAAAAACTATTTTGAGTCATGTTTGAAATGATTAAGTTTAGGCTGCATTTTAGTCACCCTATTTTCATTTATATTTTCAGAAACTACAAGGTGTTAGCTTTCAAATGATGTATCCCACATGTAATTTGGGCTTACAGTTCCTCAGTAATTTGCTTTTCCATTTGAGTACACTAAATAGGCGAAGATGACTCAAAATCAGTTGGGTTTCAATTATATAAAACTGACAAAAATTTAGAATTATGTTCATCCCTGATGAACTTTGGATATTGTCACAGAAATTCACTCTGAACCAGGCAAAATGTAATCTGTTTTTTGAGAGAAAAAAATAACAAAATATCAAAAAGATGTAAATAACATAAATGGGGCCAAGTTACAAACATAATTAGAGAAATCATTATTGGTTTGTTTTTTTAATTATCTTTACTTGCCCACACTGACTTTATCTGACAGTAACTTGTTTTCAGGAACTTTCAGTTAAAAAAATATCCCAATAGAATTAAAATAGTTTCAGTCGCCTTCCTGCCCTAATATTTTTAGATGATTTATTTCAGACGCAGATGAGATGTCACTCAACGTCTGTGTAAGAGACACAGATCACTTGCTGTGAAACTGGTTTTATTATTATCACAGATACAAAGACAGTTTGCTTTGTTAGGAAGTCATTGCTGCTAGGATTTATAAAACATCAATATTTCTGACTATTCCCTATAGAATGCTTATATTAACCCAGAGATCTTTATACCATGTTGCATGTTCCGTCAGGGACTGATGTGATCAAACAGAGCATTTTGTTCCAACACAGTACATTCAGCCTTCCTTTCTATCTGCAGACTGTTGCCAACTCTAACCTATAATAATAGCAGTAAAGTCTAGACAAGTCTATCTGCTTACTTGCAGATCTGGGCTTCCTTTTGTAGGTTTATTAACTAGTGATACTGAAAATAACTAACTCTGGGACCTTCACTTCAGTCAGCATCGTCTGATAGGGATCTGTTCAGGTGGTTTGACCCAAATTGAAGTCTTTCAGTCAAAAGCCTTTTTCTCTGTGCATCCCTTAAACTTTTTTTTTTCCTATAGAGATGACAAATCTGTAAAAGAAAGAAAAACTATGAATCTTGTTTCAATCTTTGTGAATTTAGAACTATTTTTGATTAGGTTGAATTTATGTAGCACTATACGTGAGTAAAATAGGAAACATTTTATACATCACATTGTTCACCGACACTAAAGCCTCTCAAGTAAATAAACAAAAATATAATCCTGTTATTTTGAGCTTGTTGATGCAAGTGACTCAGTTTCCATGGCGGTAGTCCCAGTGTTTTTAATTATTTGGGTATGTTTCAAATGTGGATTTTTTACTTTTAGTTTGGAGGAATTCTTTACGGCCAATAGTGCTTAAGAAAGTCCAGAGAAACTAATGTTAGTCGATTCATTTATCCTCTGGCATTGCAGATGTGCAACTCTGTCGAGAAACTGTAGAGCAGATGGAAAAGCTCCACATTCAGTGGGAATTGTGAGCCAATAATTTCAGCTGGATGTAGAAAGCAGTGGTCAGTGTAAATCCTTGGAGGATACAATGACGTGGATTATTCAGTTCAATTGATCTGATCTAGCTGGAAAACAGCAGTTCTTTAAGACCTTTCCTAATATAACTTGGTAATGAATGTCACCAGGATGGCAGAGGTTTGTGCGGTGATGATCTGTTTTCTCTTTCCGTTATGTTTATGTTTCTCCTCAGTTGAGCTTAAGGTGGTTTCTCTCATTAATAATCAGAGAGGCATGAGAGAGGGGAGTTAGATCAAAAAGGCTCAGAGGGGTAAAGAGATTCTTCCATCCTGTTAAGAGCTAATGAGGGTTTTATCGATTAACATCAGAGTAAACAGCTTCGATGGGGGTGGGACTTTAGACATTTACTGCCATTTTTAATCTTTACCTTTATGGGGCTTTTCTTGATGTGCGGGTTAGATTAAATTCAGCTTTTAGAAGCAACACTGAGTAAAACCTAAAATCATATCCAGTCTCAATAATGACAGTGACTGAGGAAACGGTTACTGGGGGACGACGTTCCAGTAGTGAATGTGTGAGATAAAATTTACAGATGAGCTCTCAGGATATTTAAGAGTAGCAGGAACAAAGGAGGAGAAGCTCTATTTGTTTTCAGTGGATGACAAAGATCCTTTCCGATGTGCGAGGCTGAGTTGGTCAAAGAAGCAAGTTTCAGTATCTGGAATCCAGTCTTTTTCTATTATGATCCCTATCTCAAGGCAGTGGGTAAAATTAGATAGTTGGGCTGACTGCTCTACCTTTTGGTTCAGTGTTTTGTTTACTTCCACAGACAGGAGAAAAACCAAGCCCCAATCCATCCATCCATCTTGCAAAACATCACTCTTGAAAAAACATATCAAGATAATTGGACTTCTCTGCTTCAGGCATAGATTCCTCTCTGACCTAAAGGGACCAGTCTGCCTTTTTATGGCAACTGTATCAATAGAAAAACATATTTTTTTAGAAAGCAAAACCCCTACATTTTGTTAATGCTAGAGACTAGAAATTAATCAGAAGTACAAGTCTTAATAAGTATTACCTCATTGTTTTCCTTCCAGTGCCTCCTCAGATTACTGCAAAGCCCAGAGACCAGATTGCTGCCCAAGGGAGGAGTGTAACCTTCCAGTGTGGCACCACAGGAAACCCTCCACCTGCCATCTTCTGGCAGAAAGAGGGCAGCCAGGTAAGACACAAAAAAGGAAATATTTGTGAATGTCAAATTTTGAAGTTGCTTTTATTCTTTTTGGTGTTAGTTCTACATTTTTACAAGCTCTCTATTGTTTGTCATATCAATAGAACAGTTTCACACCTCCCTTTTTCTTTCATCGCAACACTTTTTTTTTAAAGTTGTCCACACCCCTCAAAACACATTCTCAGGACACGAATGCTTCACACATTTTTACACTTATCTATGGATGTAAATAGTCTACAGCCCCCACCCTTCTTCAAATGCCAAGTTTTACCATGTAAAAAAAACAAGACAAGGCAAGACAAATCTCTTTTTTTCTCATCATTACTGTGACTTAAACTTTTTACTTAATTAAAACAAGCAACAATTTTCAGGTAAAAAATATATTAATATGTAGTTAGTTAATTCTGAAACTGTGTTATAATTAAATAGGAGTTAGAAATATCTGCCATTATTTACAATACTTCTGATTAAAGCTGACTATAGTGTATTACAGGGGTCACCAACGTGATGCCCGCAGGCAACAAGGGGCCCTCAAGGACCACATGGGGTGCCCTCAGCATCTTATGAAAACAGAACAACTTACCAGTGGACTAAGTTTGAATGTTATTTTTTGCTGCTGCTGTTATGTTTTATCATTTATAGAGCGTTTCATCATATCAATAATTTAAAACATATAAGCATTTACAGGGATTTCAAAATGACAATATCTAGAGGCAAATTAGAAATGTAAAGAAACAATAGAAATATGTTTATTATCTATGAAGTTTAGGTGAACGCTGACTCCTCCAGTTCATAGGTCAATATTAGTAGCCCATCCTGTGACCCAGAACCCATGAAGTAGCCCCTGTTCATAAAAAGGTTGGTGACCCCTGGTGTATTGGTTTCAGGAAACTTTTGTGTCCTGGGCCACATTATTAAAAGCCTGTGAAGTGCTTTAGAGGGATATACCTGTCAAAATAAAAGTACAAAAAGATGTCCAAGGCATTAGATATACCATGAGCATACAAAACCTAAACAAATCGTACTGTCAGTGGCAGCTTTATTAAACGGATGTTCCAGTTTAATTATTAGTCAGCTTTATGTATATATTTTTTTTGTAAACAACTTTTTTATTATTTTAAAGAGAAACAGGTACATTAGTCCGATAAAGGTAAAAGGGGTATATTACAACCTGATACAACAGAAAGGAACACAGAAACAAAACAAAATAACAAAAAACATCAGAGAGTAGAGTTTATAGTCTCCTGCTGATTAATTTTGATGTTCGGCTGATCAGGTCCAAACGATTTCACTTCCACTTTCTCTTCGTAAGTTTGCTCTAAGGGACTTCACTTCCGCGACTCGATCTGTCGATCAGCTGCACTACGACTGTGACATCAGTTCCTGTCACCTCTGGGCGCAGCACTCGTGCACCCTGAGTAATCCTATACTTCTGTATTGCAAAGCAGCTACTGCACATGTACAACTTTTAACGAGAGTCTATGGCCAAAGATTTTGCACCCTAGGGCGGAAATACATCACCAATCCGACAGCTAATTAAACAGCTTTACTCATCATTAAAGATTAAATGTTAATCTTGCAGATTTAAAAGAATATTAATCAAATTCAAAATAGTTTGATTTAAATCAAGGTCATTGGGTGGGTGGGGCGGCGACCTAAAGCCCTCGATTGATCAGCCACCACTGCTGTCAACTCTAAACATACTGTGTGGACTAAAGGGCAGATTATACTTCTGCAACCACACACATCAAATGTCGCCTGGGTCTGGTCACGAACCAGGTTTGCTGGTATGCTTCTGCACCGTCGGTCTGGAATGTCAAGGGATGCGGAGCAGTTTCCCGCCAAAGTGCAAGGGGGAGCCTATTTGAGAACTTCCGAGAACTTCTGCGCTGCCTCACGTATTTATATCTCAGTCTCTTTCACCTTTGTAAACACTCCTTTGGATCCCGCTCAAGGATCTGGCTGATCTCCCTCCAGTAGTTCTCAGAGACTTTGGCAACTTTATATATAGTTTGTCTGAAGCATCGTACAAGTGGTTGTACATCCGAACCTTCTAGATTAACCTTTCATCGTAGTTGTCCATTGTAGTTGTTCCTTGGTTTTTAAAAATGGCGCGCCCCGGCACCGAATCAAGAAGGACGACCACACAGACAGCTGGAAAGGCTTACCAAGGACCAATCACAGCTGCCTTTTGTCTGTGCACTTCCGCTTGACGTCTGCACGGGTTTGCGACCATCCAAAGCGTAGTCAGGAGGTGCGCGACCACGGTTGCTGAACCTCTGCACGGGGGGGGGGGACACAGATTTGACGATTGCAGAGGCTATGTGTCAGAAGCATAAATTGGCTTTAAGGGATAGTGTGGCATACCCAAAGTGAGTGGCAGCATCATGCTTAGAACCTTTTTTTCCTCTGCTAGAAGTGGAGCTTTAATAAGGTGGTGGAAATCACTGACAATTCCAAATACCAGGCACAAACCTTAGGCTTCTGCAGTAAAGCCAAAGATTAAGAGGAGCTTCATCCTCTCAGCCTCACAACAACCCCCTGTGGGCAGAAATATGCCCTGTATGCAGCTAGAGAAATAAAGTAGGTGAATGAAGAAGGGTTTAGCAGGTGCCAAAATTGCTCCTTCAAGGCAAACTCTGCTCTCCTTTTACATTTTCCCAACTATAAGCTCAATTAGCTACTTGGACTGACTGCAGTAGGAGACATTAGATTTTTTTTTGTCACCACACATTTATAAATACACATGCCTGCTAATGCTTTTGGCAATGCTTGGTTGTTGCTTTTTTCACTCTATTTGGAGGATTATCTGTAACCTTATAACTTCAGTCCATCTACTGAGATCTAAGCCTCTTAGGGGAATGAAACGGTTGGCTGAATGGACTGTTGCATCCCTTCCCCCTCATTCACATTCATGCTGGTTACAGAAAAACAGGACAGAAAACATCTGGTACAGAGAATCATCAACAAACACACCTTGCATGCTGGTTATGTGTTCATTTAGATTTGATTTGATTGAATTAATTAGGTTTCAGGTGGAAACTTGTGTAGGTACATGAAGTAAAATGAAAAACAGAAAGGGAAAGCTAATTGGGAGTTTCAAGCTTTATCTTGAATCTGTGAACTATTAGGAGATGGCCAAAGGGGAAAACTGTATTAATGATAAATAACACCCGTCCCTGATTAAGCCCATTCTTACAATTTACTACATCAGAAAAAAAAAAAAAACAGAACAAAGTAAAACAGATTTAATCTGTTAGATATTAAAGATTTAAAAGTTAGAAAAGTTCTTATTTTCTCCATGTTGAGAAACTATTATTATTTAAGAGACGCTTTTAAAAAACTTTAATCAGTGTAAAAAATTCACTTCAAGTGTGACTAGTGCATAAACTGCAGCTTTTATACTGGGCTTTATCGTAGAAATCCAGACGTTCTGTGATGTTTTTAGAGGATTTTTAGACAAAATGTTAAATGGAGACCAAGAAAAACAGCCAACAACATTTTCCCAAGGACAACATTGGGAAAAGGTGCTCTGGTCACATAGGTTTTCAACTGAGCTGTTTGTTTTAAGCTTCATAAAAAACATTATGTAACAGAAGACTAAGAAGGCAAACAACCTTGACACGTTGTGGTGGCAGCATTATGCTGTGGGAATGATCTCTGTAAACAGAACTAGGAGCCACATATGAGTCAAGACAAAGACAGGGCAATCCTGGAAGAAAATTGGATTAGCTGTCGTGCTGAAGACAGAGCTTTAAAGTTAATGTTAAAAATGTTATCATTGACTCATACAGCAAAGATGAAAGGACACGAATGTCTGTTTGCATATTTCACACTGGTCGGATTTAAATGATGATGCTTAAAGGCTTTAAATACTATTTCAAATAGAAGTGTTTTCTTCATTAGGAGGATTCAGAAAAAAATTGTTTTAGAAACAGAAAAAAAGCATCAGCAAGCTATTTTTCTGTCATTTAAAATGTCTACTTATCAGAATCTATAACCATATGACTTCTCATACTCAGCTTGTGTATTGATGTGTTTAGATGCTGCTGTTTCCTGGTCAGCCACCATCACAATCTGGTCGGTACTCGGTTTCCATGAGCGGAGAGCTGATCATCACTGACATCCACCCTGAAGACTCAGGCTTTTACGTCTGCCAGGCGATCAGTGTGGCAGGAAGTGTGCTGACGAAGGCTCTGCTGGAGGTGGAAGGAGGTAAAACTTTCATCTAAAGGTTCATGTTTTGAGTGTGGCAGAGGTTCCTTCTTCACAATCAGCTAATGAGGTAAACATATTAATTACTTAGTGGGTGCACAACAATTGGCCTCATGGAGGGAGAACACAGTTGGAGGCCCCACACTGGATGAGCAATGAATTCTTAAGTTAATGTTCTTTTTCAGGCAGCTTGTAAACAGCAGATTTATACCTTCTTTGTGCCTTTTGATGTAGCTCATTAAACTCTACCTGCTTAGCATCTGAAGTATTCTCTCTCAGTATGTTTTACAGCCGGCAACTTTCTTATTACATTTTCTGAGTCTTTTAAATGTGTTTTACTTTTAAGAATAGCAATAGCACCACTAAACTACAGTGCTGTGATGAACGATTTGCTCCCTGACCAATTTGTTCTGTTTTTTTGCATTTTGTCACAACTAAACCAATTTGGCCATGTGTAAAAACATATCCTTACCCTTGTACAGTCGTAAAATAATCCTGACTAACTACATTTTCTGGTTCAATTATACAACCCACCGCTAATTACTCTCAGATTTGTCATACCAAGAAATTGCTTAAACAGCACATTTCTCACAGCATGAAGTAGACAAAACAAAAAAACATTAAAAAAGTAACAAATCACATCCTGTATTAAAGTCTTAAATTAAAGTTGAGAAATTAGGTAACTAACATTTTTGGGTGTCGAATGGGAGCATAGGCATTTTAAGGTTTTAGGATACCAGAGAGCCAATTATCCACAAATGGTGAACACATAGAACCTCATTAGGAATGGTCAGCCTAGCAATACTACACAAACACAGCATTTGCATCTCAATAAGAAAGTAAAAAAAAGAACAAAGAATAAAACCTTCCTTTACCTCAGTGGACAGGCTTCATGTAAGAAAATGCAACAAAATCAGTGTAAGAAAGAGACGGGGTAAAATATACATGCAGTGTTGAGCTGCAAAGTTAAAGCTAGTTCTCACTAAAAAGAACAAACACTGTTACACATTTAATTAAAAGTAACGCAACTTTGGGAAGAAACAAAACATTTAAAAATATGTCTATTATGTGGACTGATTAGAAAAAAGTGTTCATTTTCTAAAAAGTAGTCTAAGACTTGTGGAAAAATTACTAAACAAGTGGTGATAGTGCAATCCTGTAGGGTTGCTTTTTAGTTCTAACCTGGATGCCGTACAATCATTTATGGAACCATGAATTCTGCTCTGAAGCTGAAAATAATTTGTGACCTGCAGCTCCATTTAACCTGGGTTATGTAACAGGACAATGATCCAATTCGCACCAGAAAGTCTGCCTCTAAAAAGCAAAAGAAAAATGTTTTTACTTACTTGGTCAACATCTCGATTTAAAGCTAATTAAAATGATGCGACTAGAAGTTTCATTGTGGATTAAAAGAACATCCAAAAGAAGAAGAGTGGAGCAACATTCCTCCAAAGCGATGTAAAAGAGTGATTAACAGTTTGCTAAATGTTGCTTTTCTCCCAGGTTGGCATAACTAGATTTTTGTTTTGGGGAAAAGTAAATTTTTCACATGAAACTTTAATGTAAAAGTCAATCCACCTGTATATAAGCCATCCTCATTGTACATATGACACCTCAAATCTGTGTTACTCCCTTGTATTTTTTAATTTTTTTTATTTTTATTTTGTTTTTCATTGTGTGTGATACATGTACACTTGCACCTTAATCCTTATTTATCTTGATATACTGTACATACCTTGACATACTGTATATAGATATTGTTTATTCTTAATGCACCTTTTTCCTCCTTGTTTGCACCTTCTTTAATTACTATGCCAATATGTGACCAGTAAATTTCTCCGCTGTGAGATCAATAAAGCTCATCTAATCTAATCTTTGGTTTGTAGAACATCTTACAGTCTTAAAAGTTAAACAATTAAAAAGGAATGTTTCGAATTTGTTATCACAATAAGTCTAACAATCGGCATCATATAACTGTATAGAAAAAAGCAAAAACAGAAAAAATATCCGTCAAAGTGCAAATATATTTTCCTTCACCTTGTAATTTTCTGGGTCTTCTGCTCTAAATCTGCCAGGACCTTCAGGGCGGATCCCACCGATCATTCGGCAAGGCCCTGCCAACCAGACCTTATCTCGCGGGGCAATGGCACAGCTGCATTGCCGTTTAGTTGGAGGCACCTCAGTCAAGATCTCATGGGAAAAAGATGGAGAGAGGCTGCAGGGAAACAAACCTCGAGTGACCTTGATGGAGAATGGCACCTTGCAAATTACAGATCTAAAGGTGTGTGTATGTGTGTCTGTGAGTGTGTGTGCGGGGGAGGTGTGGGCAGCTTTTATTCAAAGGATTTGAAAAGGATGGTTTTCAAAAGTCAGTCGCTCTTCGATAGAAAAGGAAAATGGAGCAAACTGGTGATAGAAACTACAAAAACTCTAAAGAATAATAGAGTGTCTCATCTCTGACCCCCTTGCCACCTTCTGCTGCAGCCCACCTAGTGACAGAATTTTATCTCATTTCCATCAGAAACTCCATTTTCCCTGGCAAAATTAAGGTGAGGCAGGATTTCAAAGACCAGCCTTTCCAAGGCAGAGCATTATCTCTCCAGCACAATTATGTGCCCATGTGGTGTGTAATTGTAATGTTAATGAAGGCGCTTGTTTATAAATGCTAATGTGTTCTCCTTTGATGGAAGACGAGTCAGAAGACTCTTTTGTCTTGCAACCCCACCTGGAGGTCAGTGAGTCTACGCAGGACGGTGCAAAAGTGGCATCAGTTTCATTAATTGACTGGCGATAGCTGATTAATCATGTAAACCTGGTTTTAATTAGATCTCATGGCTGGACTTTACTTATTCACTCCCACTCTCTACCCTGCTTCCCAGCAGTGGTGGCGAGCAAACTTGGAGCATTAAGCTTTGGTCCAATGCACCACTGAGGCTGGGGAAATCTGCCATGCCGATGTGCTCAATGGAACAGAAGAGATGCATTAGTGTGGCGTCAAAAAGGGGGAGGGGGTAGAGATGACTAGAGAGTACCTAAAAATATTCACTCCGCTCATGCCCCTACAAGCCATCAATATTTTAGCAGTAGTTGGAGTCATGTAAAAAAATTCACCTGCTGCCAAACGCTGAGCTGTCTGTCAGCCAGAGGTCAGCACTGCAGAGGGTGATCTCATATGGTCCGGTGATGGTTCCAGCAGACTGGCTTCCAGCCTTTACACAGAGAACGCCACGAGCACCAGTCAAGTGCGCAGACATATACAACTCTTAATTTAATCAGGTAGGGTGCAAAGCTCTTTCAAACAAAAAACAGAATGAGGGTTAAAATAGCTGCATGTAAACAACATTAATTCCTCTGCACTGACTTTGAATAAATACCTCCTGCAAAAAAAGAACAAAGCCTTGTTGGTGGATGCAAATAGGTTAGATGGAAATATGTGAACCTAGAATAATCAAATAACAGACCACTTTTGGAGGCCGGTAATTAAGAAAAACAGCATATGGGTAGTTTTTCCTGAGCTAATCTTCCTCCAATTGTATTGCAGCAGACAGGAATTTATGTGGAAAGGACTAAAAAAATGTAAAGTACAGTAAACATAGTTTAGTGCTAAAGGCAAGGTTGGAAACAACAACTACGAAAAATTATTCTGGTGTCTGTGAGACATATGCACATGTGCATAGAGAGTTCTTCATCCCAAGTTACACAGATTTGCAAAAGTAATTATACCCTTTAAACTTTTTCACATGTTTCATATTAATTAGTATCACAACGTTATATGTATTTTATTAGGAATTAATTAGATAGACCTATAAAACATGGTGCATTATTGAAAAAAAGAGGTTTATGATAAATTTGGGGGAGCTGCATTGATCCACCTGTTAGGTGTGAAAATATGTTATTCATTTACTCCACAAATCTTGCCTTTATGAAAAAACGAAAGGCACAGTTAAAAGTTATTATGTCTCTGCAGGCCAGTCTGAACACACCATCACCATGGTGACACATGATAGTGGCAGTATCTTGCTTTGGAGATTCTTTTGTTCAACAGGCGAAGGATTGTTGGTCTGAGCTGATGGGAGGATAGAAGGTGTTGTAAAGGGCAAACATCAAAGAAAACCTATTAAAGTCTGCATCAGATTTGAGACTGGGTAAAGGTTTACCACCTAAAGGGCAACAAACCTATATATATATATATATATATATATATAAAATAATTATTTATATATCGCATACATTAGAATACACTAAAGTTTGTGGTCTGAATGTGAGAAAATGGGAAGAAGTTGAATGGGTATGAATATATTTGGGAAGCAGTGTGCCTAAAACACACCTAAATCACCTAAATCACAGCTGCAGTCTTTCCCCTAACAGCAGATCATTGGTCTGTGCATGCAGAGAATGTAGTATTGACACCTACAGAGAATTATCACCTACAGAGAATTATCACCTATAGAGATTTATCACTCAGCTCTGCTGAGCTTTTTGATGGGTTTCAGCCTATTTTTGTTTGGTTTTTATTGTCTAGAGTGTTCTCTGATTGACTCTCACTCATTCTTCAATAAACAAGCCGACAAAGCTTTACAAAATAGAATAGAAGAATCTATTTAAATCTGTTAAATCTCATGTAAAGAACCTTCTTTTGGAAGTAAAACAAAACAATTAATTGTACTGTTGATCATGGGAATAAGTATAATTGTTTTTTTTCTTCTTCTTCATTATTGAACCTTTCTTTCTTAAGATAATCTGATATGACAACAAAGAAACAAGAACTTGTTGCCCAATTTATACATTTTGGTGGAATCATTTCCTAATCTAGTTCTTTCCATCCATCCATTTTCCGTCACACATATCCCAAGCAGGGTCGCTCCAGCTGTCTATGAGCAAGAGGCGGGGTACACCTTGGACAGGTCGCCAGTCTATCGCAATAATCTAGTTCTAACAGAGGGAAAATGATTTTTACAGGATCAAACATATGCATATACAAGATACTTTAATAAATGCTCTTTTAGGGCATCAACAAGCAGAAATTTATGCAGACCACAAATTATATAAATGAAATCGGGAAAATTCCAGAAGTGTAATGGCGCTTTATTTAATATCAAATCTGTATCTATCTGATAGATAGCTGATAGAATTAGTCCTCCTCAATTTTTGTTGTTCCTTCCACCTATGTGATATATCACTTCAACTGGGAATGAAATAGTCCCTTTGCATGAACCTCCCACCACCGTGCTTGCCTTTTTAAAACTCACACTGACTCAATAGATGTAGTTCTTGTTATTTGATACAAAATTCTTAATCTTTTTTACATAGGACATTTGGCTTGTCTGATTTTACCATTTATTTTAGTGGAGCTTAAAGGTGTAGATTTTGAAGCAGATGCTCATTTTAGACATTAATATATATATATATATATATATATATATATAATATATTATATATATATATATAATTTTTTTATTATTATTATTATTCTTGTCTATAATTTGCAATGATATTATTTGCAGTGGAAACAGGTTTTATATCTAGGTAATGAATTTATTTTGATGCTATCTATGGAATCGACCCCAGAACGAGTAAAATATCTTATGGTGTTTAATGAAGCTGGTGAGAATATTATTACCATAACGAAATAATTCTGTATCAGCTTTGGCTGTAATGCTTCTCAGAAACGACAAACTCATTATTCTAAACTTAATTCAAAAGAATTGAGATTAGTTAACAAATACTCTCAGGGATGAAAACCTAATTTTTGGAGACGTGAACTGATTAGGCCGAAAAGGCAATATTTAGCCGCAAGCATTATTTTTACATTTGTAAGAAAAGATGAGAAGCTTGTAAGCCTGCAGACAAAATACTAACTGTGAAATACGGGATAGGCATTGCATTGTGGTGGTGTTTTTTTTTTTTTAAAGAGGGACANTATATTATGTGGACTGATGAGAAAAAAGTGTTCATTTTCTAAAAAGTAGTCTAAGCCTTGTGGAAAAAATTACTAAACAAGTGGTGATAGTGCAATCCTGTAGGGTTGCTTTTTAGTTCTAACCTGGATGCCGTACAATCATTTGTGGAACCATGAATTCTGCTCTGAAGCTGAAAATAATTTGTGACCTGCAGCTCCATTTAACCTGGGTTATGTAACAGGACAATGATCCAATTCGCACCAGAAAGTCTGCCTCTAAAAAGCAAAAGAAAAATGTTTTTACTTACTTGGTCAACATCTCGATTTAAAGCTAATTAAAATGATGCGACTAGAAGTTTCATTGTGGATTAAAAGAACATCCAAAAGAAGAAGAGTGGAGCAACATTCCTCCAAAGCGATGTAAAAGAGTGATTAACAGTTTGCTAAATGTTGCTTTTCTCCCAGGTTGGCATAACTAGATTTTTGTTTTGGGGAAAAGTAAATTTTTCACATGAAACTTTAATGTAAAAGTCAATCCACCTGTATATAAGCCATCCTCATTGTACATATGACACCTCAAATCTGTGTTACTCCCTTGTATTTTTTAATTTTTTTTATTTTTATTTTGTTTTTCATTGTGTGTGATACATGTACACTTGCACCTTAATCCTTATTTATCTTGATATACTGTACATACCTTGACATACTGTATATAGATATTGTTTATTCTTAATGCACCTTTTTCCTCCTTGTTTGCACCTTCTTTAATTACTATGCCAATATGTGACCAGTAAATTTCTCCGCTGTGAGATCAATAAAGCTCATCTAATCTAATCTTTGGTTTGTAGAACATCTTACAGTCTTAAAAGTTAAACAATTAAAAAGGAATGTTTCGAATTTGTTATCACAATAAGTCTAACAATCGGCATCATATAACTGTACAGAAAAAAGCAAAAACAGAAAAAATATCCGTCAAAGTGCAAATATATTTTCCTTCACCTTGTAATTTTCTGGGTCTTCTGCTCTAAATCTGCCAGGACCTTCAGGGCGGATCCCACCGATCATTCGGCAAGGCCCTGCCAACCAGACCTTATCTCGCGGGGCAATGGCACAGCTGCATTGCCGTTTAGTTGGAGGCACCTCAGTCAAGATCTCATGGGAAAAAGATGGAGAGAGGCTGCAGGGAAACAAACCTCGAGTGACCTTGATGGAGAATGGCACCTTGCAAATTACAGATCTAAAGGTGTGTGTATGTGTGTCTGTGAGTGTGTGTGCGGGGGAGGTGTGGGCAGCTTTTATTCAAAGGATTTGAAAAGGATGGTTTTCAAAAGTCAGTCGCTCTTCGATAGAAAAGGAAAATGGAGCAAACTGGTGATAGAAACTACAAAAACTCTAAAGAATAATAGAGTGTCTCATCTCTGACCCCCTTGCCACCTTCTGCTGCAGCCCACCTAGTGACAGAATTTTATCTCATTTCCATCAGAAACTCCATTTTCCCTGGCAAAATTAAGGTGAGGCAGGATTTCAAAGACCAGCCTTTCCAAGGCAGAGCATTATCTCTCCAGCACAATTATGTGCCCATGTGGTGTGTAATTGTAATGTTAATGAAGGCGCTTGTTTATAAATGCTAATGTGTTCTCCTTTGATGGAAGACGAGTCAGAAGACTCTTTTGTCTTGCAACCCCACCTGGAGGTCAGTGAGTCTACGCAGGACGGTGCAAAAGTGGCATCAGTTTCATTAATTGACTGGCGATAGCTGATTAATCATGTAAACCTGGTTTTAATTAGATCTCATGGCTGGACTTTACTTATTCACTCCCACTCTCTACCTTGCTTCCCAGCAGTGGTGGCGAGCAAACTTGGAGCATTAAGCTTTGGTCCAATGCACCACTGAGGCTGGGGAAATCTGCCATGCCGATGTGCTCAATGGAACAGAAGAGATGCATTAGTGTGGCGTCAAAAAGGGGGAGGGGGTAGAGATGACTAGAGAGTACCTAAAAATATTCACTCCGCTCATGCCCCTACAAGCCATCAATATTTTAGCAGTAGTTGGAGTCATGTAAAAAAATTCACCTGCTGCCAAACGCTGAGCTGTCTGTCAGCCAGAGGTCAGCACTGCAGAGGGTGATCTCATATGGTCCGGTGATGGTTCCAGCAGACTGGCTTCCAGCCTTTACACAGAGAACGCCACGAGCATCAGTCAAGTGCGCAGACATATACAACTCTTAATTTAATCAGGTAGGGTGCAAAGCTCTTTCAAACAAAAAACAGAATGAGGGTTAAAATAGCTGCATGTAAACAACATTAATTCCTCTGCACTGACTTTAAATAAATACTTGCTTCAAAAAAAGAACAAAGCCTTGTTGGTGGATGCAAATAGGTTAGATGGAAATATGTGAACCTAGAATAATCAAATAACAGACCACTTTTGGAGGCCGGTAATTAAGAAAAACAGCATATGGGTAGTTTTTCCTGAGCTAATCTTCCTCCAATTGTATTGCAGCAGACAGGAATTTATGTGGAAAGGACTAAAAAAATGTAAAGTACAGTAAACATAGTTTAGTGCTAAAGGCAAGGTTGGAAACAACAACTACGAAAAATTATTCTGGTGTCTGTGAGACATATGCACATGTGCATAGAGAGTTCTTCATCCCAAGTTACACAGATTTGCAAAAGTAATTATACCCTTTAAACTTTTTCACATGTTTCATATTAATTAGTATCACAACGTTATATGTATTTTATTAGGAATTAATTAGATAGATCTATAAAACATGGTGCATTATTGAAAAAAAAGAGGTTTATGATAAATTTGGGGGAGCTGCATTGATCCACCTGTTAGGTGTGAAAATATGTTATTCATTTACTCCACAAATCTTGCCTTTATGAAAAAACGAAAGGCACAGTTAAAAGTTATTATGTCTCTGCAGGCCAGTCTGAACACACCATCACCATGGTGACACATGATAGTGGCAGTATCTTGCTTTGGAGATTCTTTTGTTCAACAGGCGAAGGATTGTTGGTCTGAGCTGATGGGAGGATAGAAGGTGTTGTAAAGGGCAAACATCAAAGAAAACCTATTAAAGTCTGCATCAGATTTGAGACTGGGTAAAGGTTTACCACCTAAAGGGCAACAAACCTATATATATATATATATATATATATATAAAATAATTATTTATATATCGCATACATTAGAATACACTAAAGTTTGTGGTCTGAATGTGAGAAAATGGGAAGAAGTTGAATGGGTATGAATATATTTGGGAAGCAGTGTGCCTAAAACACACCTAAATCACCTAAATCACAGCTGCAGTCTTTCCCCTAACAGCAGATCATTGGTCTGTGCATGCAGAGAATGTAGTATTGACACCTACAGAGAATTATCACCTACAGAGAATTATCACCTATAGAGATTTATCACTCAGCTCTGCTGAGCTTTTTGATGGGTTTCAGCCTATTTTTGTTTGGTTTTTATTGTCTAGAGTGTTCTCTGATTGACTCTCACTCATTCTTCAATAAACAAGCCGACAAAGCTTTACAAAATAGAATAGAAGAATCTATTTAAATCTGTTAAATCTCATGTAAAGAACCTTATTTTGGAAGTAAAACAAAACAATTAATTGTACTGTTGATCATGGGAATAAGTATAATTGTTTTTTTTCTTCTTCTTCATTATTGAACCTTTCTTTCTTAAGATAATCTGATATGACAACAAAGAAACAAGAACTTGTTGCCCAATTTATACATTTTGGTGGAATCATTTCCTAATCTAGTTCTTTCCATCCATCCATTTTCCGTCACACATATCCCAAGCAGGGTCGCTCCAGCTGTCTATGAGCAAGAGGCGGGGTACACCTTGGACAGGTCGCCAGTCTATCGCAATAATCTAGTTCTAACAGAGGGAAAATGATTTTTACAGGATCAAACATATGCATATACAAGATACTTTAATAAATGCTCTTTTAGGGCATCAACAAGCAGAAATTTATGCAGACCACAAATTATATAAATGAAATCGGGAAAATTCCAGAAGTGTAATGGCGCTTTATTTAATATCAAATCTGTATCTATCTGATAGATAGCTGATAGAATTAGTCCTCCTCAATTTTTGTTGTTCCTTCCACCTATGTGATATATCACTTCAACTGGGAATGAAATAGTCCCTTTGCATGAACCTCCCACCACCGTGCTTGCCTTTTTAAAACTCACACTGACTCAATAGATGTAGTTCTTGTTATTTGATACAAAATTCTTAATCTTTTTTACATAGGACATTTGGCTTGTCTGATTTTACCATTTATTTTAGTGGAGCTTAAAGGTGTAGATTTTGAAGCAGATGCTCATTTTAGACATTAATATATATATATATATATATATATATATATAATATATTATATATATATATATAATTTTTTTATTATTATTATTATTCTTGTCTATAATTTGCAATGATATTATTTGCAGTGGAAACAGGTTTTATATCTAGGTAATGAATTTATTTTGATGCTATCTATGGAATCGACCCCAGAACGAGTAAAATATCTTATGGTGTTTAATGAAGCTGGTGAGAATATTATTACCATAACGAAATAATTCTGTATCAGCTTTGGCTGTAATGCTTCTCAGAAACGACAAACTCATTATTCTAAACTTAATTCAAAAGAATTGAGATTAGTTAACAAATACTCTCAGGGATGAAAACCTAATTTTTGGAGACGTGAACTGATTAGGCCGAAAAGGCAATATTTAGCCGCAAGCATTATTTTTACATTTGTAAGAAAAGATGAGAAGCTTGTAAGCCTGCAGACAAAATACTGTGTGTTACATGGTGGCTATTGCTTTGTTTTTGTTTTTTTTTTTTTTTTTTTAAAGAGGGACAGTAATACTTTTGCAGCCATGATGGGAGCATACAGAAAAATGATTGTATGTAAATAATGAAAAATGATAATATAAAGATAATACTTTAAAACTAATTTACTAAGAATAGCTGATGAAAAACAGACATCAGAAAGAGGGAAGGTGGGTTTGGGAGTAAATGTTTGGTAAATATCTAGTTCTAGCTGTATGTTAAAGGGACGTTGTGTGATCTATAGATCTTACAACCTATAATGATAAGGTTTTAAAGCCATGCTTAAAACCGTGGTATTACCATAACACTCAACTCCATAATGAAACCTTACATGCTGTAATAAAAACCTTAGTACAATACACTTGATGGTGATACTAATGGACTTCAGCTGTTGTTTGACAGGACACTGACTCAGGGATGTACACATGTGTTGCATCCAGCCCCACGGGGGAATCGAGCTGGAGCGGGATGTTGACTGTCAGAGGTACTTATAACCAAACTTACCACACTTGTCACTTTCTGCTACATTTTACACCTTGTTGCACTTATAGTCCATTTTCTGGGGGAGCACCACCTGCTGCCTGAACACTAGACAATCTGCACCAGTTTCTGTCAAACTGTTAACCAGAGCCAGCCCTCTCACTGTAGTCATCTCTTTGTGCCATAGAGGATGCAGCTTCTTCTGGATCCAGAGCTTCTGAGTTCATCCAGCTTCCAGGACCTCCACAAAAACCTGTGGTGACCGAAGTGACCAAAAACACGGTCACTCTAACATGGCAGTCAAATCCTCATGAAGGTGGGGATGCTGTTACCTCGTATGTCATCGAGGCCTTCAGGTAGGATTTTTCAAAGATTTTATGCGATTTGAATAAAGTCCCTCATTATTTGATTGTGTCTGTATAAGAGTGGGAAAAACCTTGTTTTTAATTGATAGGAAACTATGTCAGGAGTCTTGACGCTTCTTTTCAGGTCCCAAATAAGTTCACACACAAAAAAAAAGTTAGATTCAAATAATGTAAAAACAAAGCTGCAAGGACATCAATTTCTGACCATTTGCTTCCAAGTTTTTATATTTACAGCTGAAGGACACAGTTTCTTGAACCCAAAAATTGATGTGTTCAGGTACATTGTTCTTTTGATGTATTTAGATTGGAGGCTCGTAATTGGTTATGTCTCCACCTCACTCAGCTGAGATTTGGACTTTGTTAATTCCAACTGAAGCAGATAAACAATGCTAATACGGCATAGACAGTGCTAATGGTTAATTGAATTCTGACACTCATTCATTTACAAGTTGTAGTATTTGAGACAACCTAGAAGTTTAAAAGACAGGTACAACTGGTAAAGAAGAGTGTTTTCCATGTAGGACTCCTTGGTAGAATATAATCATATATTTCATTATAGACTTTGAAAAAGTTAACATTGGTTTTATTACATCATACTTTGATTAGTGTGATGATCTGTGTTGTTTGATGACACCAAGCTGTACAAAATACTGCTACATACCTTCTGACAATATCTGCATGGTATGATGAAATCACAAGCAAATCACATGAAATCACAAGGATGTTACTCTTGTTCTAAGAGTAACATCCTACTTGTCTGGAATAGGTAACCTTATACGTTATTCAGAGCATACATTTCCACAAGTAAACTTGTGTTAAACAATTGCGGCTCAAAAGCAAAGGTCCAAGCAATTTCTTTAGTGTTGCTTCGTAAGTAGTGTAACAGACTGTTTTTCCCCCCATCCAATTTAAAATAAAAAGCATATTTTTGGTTTTTGCTGTGTTGATTGCAGGCTGCATGGTGGGACAGTTGGTAGCAAGTAGGCAGTTGGTTCATATCCTGGTCTTTCTGCATTAAGTTCTCTTTTTGCATTGGATATCTGACAGATCATGAGTGTGAATTGGTTTCTCAACGTTTCCCTTAGCTGAGCGTGTGTGTAAAGTTGTTTGTATTTATGTGTTTTGCTATGTTATGGACTAAGCAGAGGCCTGAACCACAAAGCAGGATTACTGGTTAGCGAGACAATTTCAGGTGACCTGGCTTTCTGGTGCCAGGAAGCTGCATTCATTCTTAGACCTAAACAACTTTAATTTCATTCTGTATACACAGTGTACACACAACAAATTTCATTTAGTACAGCTTTTCAGACAGTAAATGAACATTTCCTTTCCATAAAGTGCAGTAGTGATCAAATGTGAACAGTGTGGGAGAAAAAACATGGTGCAAAAAACCATGGTAACGTAATCTGAAAAGCAAACCTGCTACAGGGCAGGCTAGCTTTCAGGATTGATCTGAATCCTAGAAAAGGCTCCAATCAGAAGCCAATCAGCTGTTTGTTAAAAAACGACACACCCTTTCATTAAAGATCCAATTTAATTCAGAGTGCAAAAATAAAATATAATAAAAAAAATCTTCGCTTCCCTTCCAAAAAGCTTTTTGAATTCCAATTGTCAGGAATAGCATTGGGTTCGAGTGCGAGTTTTAATTTTCTTTTTTTTTTGGAATGACTATGACCTGGATGACTGAAAATCTTCATCAGCGTAGTTCAAAAAGAACAAAGAAACAAACAAAACAGCATCATAATAAAGCAACTTTAAGTTAATTTTTAAGTTAACTGCAGGAATCAGTTTAAACAGGAGCTCTTGACAAATTGGATTGTTTTCTATTTATTTTCCTATTTTGTCCTTTTTTGGCAATCAACCAATTACTATTTTGTATTTGTTTTCTAAAATAAAAATCAGAACAGGAATTGTAAGAAGATCCTTTGGATCACAATGACATTATTTATATGTGCAACACAGATTTTTATGAGCCGAAATGTCATATATACCAGATCCCGGAACCGTGTTGCCTATGCGACCCACAGGAGTTTGGCCTTCACTGTGTCGCAGACAATATGTATATCATGCCATATGACGCAACAGGCAGCCTTGTGTCCACTGTTGGGAATACGGTGCGACCCGGGAAAAATCCGTCAAGCTGTCCATCAAGGGTCCAGTGATACAGGTGATGAATTAATTCATCATCTTCTCTGCATGGTCTCTTGCCTGTACACCATATAAAAAAATGTATTGTGACTGCAGATGAATCAATATATGGATTTCTTTAAAAGTTAATATTCATCATATTATCCCTTTTTCGGGCCGATTCACCAGTTGTGTGAGAAATTTTCGATCTGGCAGAATTTCAGCCTGACATGTTTGAAATTCAGTCGTCGTCATAAGGTGGTCTTGGGTAAATCACTCAATGTGCATGCACGAACAAGGATTCTTCTTTTAATTCTTCTCAGATGAAAACACATAAGCATGGTTTATGTGCAATGAGGGAAATGGAGTTCTTTCTCTAAAATTGACAGACTGTAGTTGCCAGGTTTGCCCAGCCATGTCTTTGTCCAAATACGTTGTCGCCTTTTTTTTTAGGGTTTTCAGAACACAAAATTGCACAAACGTTTCACTCTAGTGGAGGCATCAACACTCCGTCTTTTTCCTCTTCTACACTTTTGGCTTTTGGATAGGCGAGCCCGAGTAGCGCCATCTCACTGCAGAGCTGAGTCTGACATGGTTTTTAGATGTACAGTGTGAGCAGGTAGATCGTATCAGAGTGTTGGGCCGCACAATGTGACAATACACATAGTGAGCTGTGAACATTTAGGTTAATTGTACAGTACTTACGGAGAACAGGCTGTTAAATATATAAATTGGCCAATACCGGTACATATATTTTCTTTTTCTTTCCAGCCTTTTCACTGTAAATGAGAATGGTAAATGCTACAATGAAGCTGCACCAATGCTCGATTAATGGTAAAACTGCAGGTAAAAAAAAAAAAAGGTTCTCACACAGCTCAAGAAAGCAGGATGACTTCCCTCAGACTGATCACTTCTTGTATTAATATAATGCAGTTGTGTCATCAGCTTCCAGCTATATTCTAGCTCAAACATTATTGAATTTAAAATACCAATTGACCAGATGAAATTAAGTTTTTGTGTTTTAGTGTTATCTGCTCCTAATCTTCTTCAGCCCAGGGGGGTTACTTCTGAAGGATGCGCTGTGATTAATATGGAATACAGTGATTGGGATGCAGACAGTGTTAAATGTCACTGATGTTTACCATTTGCAGTTACTCTGTCACAAACCTTTGTCAAGCTGTTTGCCATATTTTTGAGTTTGCTGAAGTGGTTGCCTTTTCATTGAGACTTTTTCTTTCCTCTGTTGGATTCATTTTTGTTCCTTACAGGAGAAATACGGCTCTACTTATTCTGCTCTCATGGTTGTGATTGGTCTGCTAGCTTGAACCCGCCTCTTTAGATGTACGCGTCAACAGGTTCATGATCCGTCAAATCTGGATTGAGTTAGCGAGTTGATAACCAGCTTCGTGGCATCACTGATCCTGATGCCAGGCTTGTGGATTGGTTAAACTGGATAGGTTAGGATTAAAACCGATAGGTTACATTTGCTTCATGGACTCTGGATTTTTTTGTGACTATTGTTTGACCCGATCTTGCTTTGCTCCATTAATGTGATTATTGTAAGGGTCTGTGTTTAGTCTTGTCATGCTTCAGGTACCTAATTGGTAATGTTTTTTCCACCTGGGCTGTGCAATTAGTTCTTTATTCTTTATTTGGTGCATTCTTTATAGTTTCTGTTTTGATATTTTTTATCACAGGTAAATATTGTTTTCTTGCAACAACATTTAAAGCTTTATTAAGTTGTGTCCTGTCCACTGAACTCCTGCTTGACAGAAATTAGATGGATGTGTTAAACGCTGTAATCAGGGCCAAGCCAGGAAACTTGGTATGGAGAGGATTTGATTGCAAAAACGATGCAAGTGGAGCCAAAATGTTAACATGCACCCCTTTCCCATTGACCAAAAAACCCATTTAATCCAAGGAAAAATTGACTTATGGTGGCAGTAGGAATAGGTCACTGACCCGTGTCGACCCGGATCAAAAAACTCGGCAAGCAACCCAGGTTGAAATTACCTTCAAACGGCTCGGCTCCAATCAGTGCACAGTGTGATATCAGACCAAGTTTGACCCGCTAATTTACCCAATAGAACTGAGCACAACATAAGGACGGTAACAAATATATGCGTGTGTGTGTTCAACAGTAGAGAAAATAAAATTTTGAAATTACTGCACAATCACATTATCATAGAAATCAAAGGGGGCATGAACTAAAGTTTTAACCTAAAATATAAGCTTGTCCTGAAATGAATAATATTTCAATTTGTATCAGTCAAACAGCACCAATGTCCAAAAACCTATGGACTACAATTTTTTACATGCAAAGACTTTTTTTGGAGGGGGGAGGGGATAAATCCTTTCCACTTTCCTGGTTCTTCTCCTAATCTCACTTTTCCCCTGTCACTTTCCATCTGAGTCTTCCTCCTCCTCTTCAGCTCCATGACTGACAGGATCCCATTCTCTGCATCAACTGTATGACCAAAACTGAAACTGGCCATCTTAGCTACCATTAAAAACAAAACAAAACTTTAATTATTATAAACATTATGAATTTTCTGTGGTGTTTTTTATTTTATTTTTTGCACTGTCTGCATCCTGTTCAAAATGTCTCTTTTCCACCTATTCATTCTTTCCTTTCAGCATTTGCTGTTGTTTTTTCCCTTTATTTTAAAAGTGGGAGAGGCTGATAATCATTCCCCTATATACTTAATATCATATCGACCCAGTTTGATGCTTCTACTGTGACAGTGGTGCGAGGTCCACTCAGGGCTGGCTGTAATTTATTTTGTTGAGAGTATTTGTATCCAATTTTAGATAAAATATCTGTGTGTCGAATCGTTTTAGGATCTAGAGCCCATTTTAAATCC